TGAGACCCCCAAGTAATTCCTTCTACACCCCAAAAACCAACTCAAGGTTGGGTTTGATCCATCTTTGGTTGACTCTTGGTGGTCCACCAAGCCCTCCAACCACTTGTGGGTCAATCTATGGGTCTGAGAAGATCCATGACCACTTATGGGTCAATCTATGGGGCTGAACACACCCATGACCCACAAGTAACCACCTCCTAGACCTCATAAACCAAATTGTGGTTGGGTTGGACCCATCAACGGTCGACTCTTGGTGACCCACCATGAACCACAACCACTTGTGGGTCAATCTATGGGTCAGGTAAGACCCGTGACCACTTGTAGGTCAATCTATGGGTCTAGAAAACCCTTGAGACCCCCAAGTCATACGTCCTAGACCTCATAAATCAGACTGTGGTTGGGTTGGACCCATCTTTGGTTGACTCTTAGTGGTCCACCAAGACCAGCATCCACTTGTAGGTCAATCTATGGGTCTGAGAAGATCCATGACCACTTGTAGGTCAATCTATGGGGCTGAGCACACCCATGACCCACAAGTAATCACCTCCTAGACCCTCTAAACCAACTCAATGTTGGGTTCAACCCATCAACGGTTGACTCTTGGTGACCCACCATGAACCACAACCACTTGTGGGTCCATCTATGGGTCCGAGAAGCTCCGTGACCACTTATGGGTCCATCTGTGGGTCCCCCCAGAGTACGTGGAGCACCTGAAGGACGAGGGGCGGGTCTGCGCCATCATCGCCCGGCTCCAGCGGTACCTGCAGGGCCGGGGGTCCCCCGAGGAGCTCTGCAGGGTCTACCTGAGGCGAGTCCTCCACACCTACTACAAGTTCGACTACAGGGCCCAGAGGAGGAGGGAAGGGGAGGAAGAGGAGGAGGAAGAGGAAGGGAGGAAGAGGAAGGAAGGGGGGGAGAAGATGGGGGAGGGGGAGAAGAAGAAAGGGGAGGAGAAGAAGGGGGAGGAGGAGAGGAAGAAGGTGGAGGGGGAGAAGATGGGGGAGGAGAAGAAGGAGGAGGAGAAGATGGCGGG